GTGTCAAATCAAGATGTAATTTTTATCTAATTATCTTCCATTCACTAAAATATATTATCCATCTCTAATTATCTCTTAACACCTTATAGCACAATATTCCTTTTGTACAAAACTCCTTCTAATCTTTCAAATTTAGTATACACACTTAACTAGTCGGTCACATTAATATAATGCACTATGAAACTTAATATGCACTAAACTATAAAAAAGGGAATGATAAAAATCTTAACTTAACCTTTAAAATCACTATCAAATTAAGACTAGCAAATAAGTAAATAAAGTAAAATTAAAAGGGAATATAAATTAAATTTTCAAAAATAGGAGAAAATTTAAAAATAATTTTCGGATCCTCACAAAAAGCACAATCATGATTTAGACCAGATTTGGTTCTCTTGACCAAAATTAAAGTCAATAAACTCATTGAAACTAGATTTATTCGTGAAATAAAAAATCCCATATGGATTTCAAGTATTGTGCTTATACGAAAAAAGAATGAACAAATCCGTATCTGCGTCGATTTCAAGGATCTTAACAATGCTTGTTCCAAAGATGATTTTCCTCTACCTATCACTGAACTCATGATTGATGCAACTACTGGGCATGAGGTTTTATTGTTTATGGATGGCTCTTCTGGTTACAATCAAATTCGAATAGCACATGAGGATGATGAGTTCACTACATTTTGTACTCCTAATGGTATTTATTGCTATAAAGTAATGTCCTTTGATCTTAAAAATGCCAGAACTACATATTAAAGAACAATGCAAAATGTGACGGTCCTACCTTATTTTAGGGCGTACCCTAAAAGTTAGCAGATTGTGACAGCCCCACCTCCCCCTAAGGCGAACCAGAGGGTTCGGCGGACCGCCTGCCCAACTCTCGTCGGGACTCAGTCGAACCTCAATCAAATCCGAAATAAAACCACAAGATCAAACGAAATAACAATCCAAAATTTAAAGCGAAACTTATATACATTTCTATCTCAAAAGGAAGTACAAATATCGAATATACAAAGGTTCTCAATTCGTCATACATCCAGCCCATGCCAAGCACTAGGGCGAGAACCATTACAAAACAAAAAACTAGACTAGGCTAACCTACACTGGGCTCTCGTCCTTACTCGCATCCCCCTGTTAAGGAAAACAAAATTAAAGGGGTGAGCTAAAAGCTCAGTGAGGTTCCGAACACATATTCAACAACAAAGCCAATACATTAATCATCGATAATCAATAATTCAAGAAACATTTACAATGAAAAGCGATAATAACACATTCATTAAAAGGATACGGGCTCACAGGGAGCCATTTGTTCGTTCGTTCGTTCGTTCGTTCTCCTGTCATTCCCCTTATTCCTCCAATCATTTGAAAATACATTTTTATAAGTAAAACCCTCGTTCGATCGTTTATTTCATTCACCCCCTTATGGACGTTGGCCAGGCTCCACCAACCTACAAGGTAATACTCGAATATACCAACGTTCACACCCAGGGTCACCATATCGCTCGACCGAGTCCGCTTCTGGCTCGAGTCGATCGGTAACGAAGGGCAGGGCCCAATTCAGCCAAAAGGCTTACATCATGCACAACTAATGTATCAATCATTAAATCGTTGAAAATTTCACGTTTCATTTAGGTCGAACGCGATAAAGTACACGCTCGCTTAGAAAATTCGTTTTGGAAATCATTGGAAACACTTAACACATTATCAAACAATAACAACAAGTCATGAAGTCAAGGAGAATATAACAAACAAGGAACACTCACCTATGTACGCAAAACAACGTGCAAAATATTCTTCCGGATATTATCCTTAGTCACCGAGAAAACCTAAGATTAAACGAGAAAGAATATTACAGCTCATCTAGCACAAACAATTAGGTGAAATCAAAGAAACTCAACAATTGATGAGTAGAACGTATAAAAAGACTTTAAAGTGAAACGAGAACATTTGGACCCGTGGACAAGAATAATTAGGGTTTCGTAGACCAAACGTAAAACCAAACGAAAGACAAGTCGGAATCCAACTAGATAGGCTAAGAAATACTATTTTCGGAATCGTTTATATGGTTCAAAATTATCTCATATTCAAGTAGATACTATACACTAAATGTCTTAATGAAATTCATGAAAAAAAAAGAGGTCAAAATACCCAAGAAAATCCTAAACCACTCCTCTTTATTTGGGTAAGAGTAAGTACACATTTGGAGTTTCCAATTGAAGAAGGATCATGTTTTAAGATGGAAAACGGTCATAGTATTTGCCAAACGAAAAATATACAAGTTCAAATAGAAACTTAGCCCTCGAGCGAAAATTTGGGCAGCACGCCCTTTGTATTTACCTATTTTCCAACTATTTATGGCTTCATTATTTTTCTCAATCAATCCCAACATTACACATAACATAAATAGCCACTCAATAGGCTCAATGTCATATGATTACCAAATCAAGTTAGGACATGTGCGGAAATGACGTTTAGGTTGGAAAACAAAAGGCAGATTTGCTGTTGCTTAGCGGAACTAACACAACTGAAGCGACACTAGTCGGATTGAGGTGAAATTTACACCGTTTCGAATCTAAGAGAAAGGGCTACAATGTTGAAGAAGGTCACTCAGTCCAGTTTGCAATGTATTTAGGTCAAATTTATCAAAACAACCCCAAATTTTCCAGTTCGCAGTTCAACTAGCAGTCCTGATTCATTCAATCATATCTCAGCACATACAACTCCAATTCAAGTGATTTTAAAGCCATCTAAAAGCTAAGATACCAGGCTATATTTCTTAAGAAGACATCGACAACCAAATCAGTAGTATTCCCGGTCAAACTAACCAATTGCAGAAACTGATTATCAGTTTCGGACAGAAACAGGGCAGCAGGGGTATTTCGGTCTTTTCACAGGATACGTTACTCCGATTGGGCTGAAATTTTGTAGAAAACTCTAAAACATCATTCTCTACAACTTTTATGTTTTAACCCAAGGCTAATTCGGCCTCTAACTAGGAGAAACAGTACCAGGCAGAATGGGGTTAATTGAAACCCTAATCTGAAATTTTCCGCACAAAGTGAAATTTTTCCGCAATTAGCTACAATTTACGCACTATGGCTTCATTCTAGACTATCCCAAGGCATCATCCATGGCCACACAATACCAAACATATAAAAACAAAAAAAATCAAGAATAAATATAAAATTCACCAATCTCTACCAAAAGTTATGAAATCTTCCATAAAATCACCACCTTAATTATCACAAGTCACTAATTTAACACTAGCATGAGTAAAGGAAGAATCTCTTGATCACTTACCTTGTAAACTCAAGAAATAAGCCAACTAAGCACCTCTTCTTTCCAAACTACTCCACCACTCACCTTAATCCTACCAAGAGAGAGGTTTTTATGGAGTAAATCAAGGTTCTAACGGTTGGTTTGTGAGATTGAGCAAGAAATAGAAGAAAGAAATTGGAAGCTTTTTTTCTCCTTTTCCTCTCCAAGAGGCTCGGCCAACAAGAAAGAAATAAGAAGAGATTTTGGGTCAATTTTTTGTTTTATTTAGTGAAGATAGTAAAGTGGTCAAAGTCCATGACCAATAGAAAAGTGCCAACTAGCACCCTTTTGTTCATTGTTATCCTTTTGTCTCTTCAACAATAATCCACTTAAGGTAACCCCTAATTATCTCTTAACACCTGATAACTTAAACCCGGTATACAAAACTTAACCTAATTGGCCGAATTTTATCGATTTTACCGCACTAGTGGGTCCCACATCCGGTATATACTCTTAAAACCTCATGAACTAACTTATACTAGAAAAATAATTTTTAAAATCATATTTGCTCATAAAAATTATTTTTAAAATGTTCCGAATAAAGAAAATGTGGAAAGGCGTGCAATTAAAATAAAATAACCTAGAAATGAAGAAAATTACGAGTTCTCACACAGATCATCTGTCTGGCTCTCGTCAGGACTCACTAATTTCACATTAACTTCAGAGATAACATTTTGCTAAACTTTCATTAATCTTACATTAACTTCAGAGATAACATTGAGGTATACTAAAACCCCACGTTCAAATCTTTTACAATGCCAAGTTTAATACAAAACTTCAGCCGTAATATGATACTAGATAATTTACAAGCACGAAAGACTTCATGTTAACTCCCTAAGCTCCCTCGTTCATTTCTCGACCACCAACCCCTGTAAGAAAAACAAAGCTAAAAAGTTGAGTTAAAACTCAGTGAGATTTACCGAACAAGTAACATTCAATAAACACTTAAACCAGTACAATTAAGCAAGTAATGAACATTTCACCGTATAGTCACTTTCAAAAGGATACAAACTCCTCCTGGGAGTTATTTCAATATCACTGCACACTCATTTCAATGTCATTGTACATCATTTCAATATCATTGCACACTCTACCAATTCGCCTCCTTATGTCTTCCAAAACAATAAACAATCCCCTATATTCAATAATCAGTTCAATAATTTTCCAACTTCAGGGTAATACTCGAATATACCGAAACAGTTACCCAAAACTTCCGTCCTATCCGACCAAGCTCTTTGCTGGTTTGAATAGTTTTTTTTTTTTTTTGGAGCTGCATAACAATATGTGAAATTTTCGTTTCAATACAAGTTTGGCTTACAAGAAATGCGGATAAATATGCTATTCAAAATTAAACTATAATCAATTAATTTTCAATTTCTGCTTCACATGCTTTTAAAAAAGTAACCCTAATCTAATACCCAAATCCAAGTTAAACAATAAACAAGTTCTAACTTTTAATCTTTTTTTTTTTAGTTACGAATCGAGTAGTTTTTTTTTATTATTCATATGAAAAACAACTACAGCACCATTGGAACCAAAACAAAAACGAGCTAGCATCTCTTCCAACGGAAGATAGGGAACCCTAATCTATCCATTCGCAAATCTCCACGGACTAAAGGAGGTAACATCGCAAAGGAATTAAACAAGGAATCCGTTCCTGTATCGGCACCCAACTTAGCCAACCTGTCCGAAGGCCTGTTGGCCTCTCTGTAACAATGTGTAATAGACCGGAACAACCACCAATGTCGCAACAGATCCTCCAATACCATCTGCAGCCGCCAGGGGCATGCCTGATCGCCTGATATGATCCGAACCAGAGTTAGTGAGTCCACTTCTAGATGCAACTCCAAATGCCCCCTAGCAATGCACTGTTGCACCTCCTGCACTAACGCCTTTAAATCTGCATGTAGGCTCGTCATGACACAAAAAAAGCATGAAAACCCGAGGATGAAACCCCCCCTGAGAGTCCCGGACCACACCCCCTCCTCCACTCAAACCTGGATTCCCAAGAGAACAACCATCCATATTGAGCTTATAACCCCCGCTCGGGGCTACTCATTGACAGGCAGAATGGTGATCGTTTTTGGCCAAGCTGCTAAGGCTGAGTGCAAACTCTCCCACGAGCCGCCGGGCCACGACATAGATGGAAACTGAACCTGAAGTAATTCCCGCAGCCTGATCAAAGCTTGGCCTACCACCAATCTCTCAGATGTTGTTCCCTCATTCATTAACGTCCTACTTCTCGCACACCACAATTCCCAACATATAATAGAAGGAAGTATACGATAAGCAAAGGCCACATATCGTTGTGGGGCTGACCGTAGCCACCACGAAATTACCATTTGCCGGACCAAAGAGATACGAGTCGAAGCCCTCTCCTGAAACTCAAAAGCCCTCCACACCTGCGAGGCAGTTTTCCCAGTGCAAAAAAGGTGTTCCAACCGTTCCTCCTGGGGAACAGAGCAGCAGCAGCATCTAGAAGGCCCTTGGACACCCAAACGGCACACCTGGTCCAGCAGAGGCAGCCTACCCGACATCAAGCGAAGCATGAAGAATGAAATCGTGATTGGTAGTAACCTCTGCCAAACACAAGCAGCCCCGAACGACCTATGCGAGTGGGGCCAAATGATCGCCAAGGCCGAGGCAACTGTGAACTCCCCACTGGGAGTTAACATCCACACCATCCTATCCTCTCCCCGGGATGTTGGAGGCCTACAAGCTAATACAAGTCGTACCACCTCCGATTGCAACACCTATGAGAGCGCGCTGAAATCGTGATTGGTAGTGACCTCTGCCAAACACAAGTAGCCCCGAACGACCTATGCGAGTGGGGCCGAATGATTGCCAAGGCCGAGGCAACTGTGAACTCCCCACTGGGAGTTAACATCCACACCATCCTGTCCTCTCCCCGAGATGTTGGAGGCCTACAAGCCAATACAAGCCGTACCAGCTCCGGTTGCAACACCTATGAGAGCGCGCTGAAATCCCACTCCCTTCCCGTCACTAGATCCGCTACCCTTTGATCCTGGAAAACCTCCACACGTTGACATAAGGGACCAGACCCTATCCAGTTGTCATGCCAGAAGTCCATAGAACCTGCCCAAACAATCCACCCTATATGCTCTTCCGTTACACCCTGGACCTCACACATCCGTTTCCAAGTATTAGAACTACCTATTCTCTCCTCTGCCAAACAAGGATGCCTGCCTCTACAATACTTGGAAGCAATAAATGAAGCCCAGAGCGAGCACCCCTGTCTAAACTTCCACCATAACTTCATGGAAAAAGCCTGGAACACCTCAGTCAGACGCCGGAGGCCCAGACCCCTTTCGTCATGTGGCCGACACAAGTTCGCCCACTTCATCCAATGGAACCTTGGGCCATGCTCCGACTCACCCCACAGGAATGCCACCATGGCTCGCTCCAACTCCTTCAAGACCACCTTGGGAGGTGATGCCGCCGCCAACAAGTGAGTTGGCATAGATGACAGAACGTGCTTGAGCAGAACAACCCTCCCTCCTGGCGACAGGATATGGTGCTTCCATGATAGGATCTTGTGAAGAACACCCTTGCACAGCTCCACAAAGTACTCCTTCTTCCGTCTGCCAAAAAACAGGGGGCACCCGAGGTATCTGACTGGGAACTCCCGCTTCCGGAACCCTGTCATCTGCCCGATAAGCTTGCAGCGATACGACCCGAGGCGTGGGTGTACTAAAAAATAGCTTTTCTATGGATTAATCTTCTGACCCGAGACGTCACAGTATCCATCCAAGACTTGCATTATCAAGCACAAAGAAGACTTCAACCCACTAGTGAAAATGATCATGTCATCCGCAAAAGCCAGGTGGGTAACCACTGGGCACCCGAGAGGGACCTTGAAAGGCTGGAACTGGCCCTGCTCAACTAAGGCGTTCAGAGCTCTAGTAAGAGCGTCAGCTCCAATGACAAATAAGGTTGGAGAAAGCGGATCCCCCTGCCTCAAGCCACGGGTAGACCGGAAGAAACCATGCGGTACGCCATTGACCAAAACAGAAAACCACACGTTCGAAACCAAGCGCCATATAGCATCAATCCAGGACTCAGAAAAACCAAACCGCCGCAACACTTGTAAGAGGAAGCACCAGGACACCCTGTCATAGGCTTTCATCATATCCAGCTTGAGAACCACATTTCCCCTACGGGAAGGTTTTCCAATATCCATCACAAGTTCCTGTGCTAGCAGAAAGTTCTCTGATACCTGTCGCCCCTTAACAAAGCCACTCTGTTGGGGAGAGATGATTCGGGGAAGAAGATGAGCTAGACGACCCGATAGTATGCGGGAGATTACCTTGTTGATAAAGTTACATAGACTGATCGGGCGATATTGTGTAAAATCTTGCGGTGAGGGCACTTTACGGATCAACACGATGGAAGTGGCGGTGATGCTCCATGGCAACTCTGCTCCGCAAAAGAAACTCAGGTTGGCTTTGTGGACGTCCTCCGCTTCTGTCTCCCACGCAAAGGTAAAGAATTTACCTGTAAACCCATCCGGTCCCACCGCACTCTCCCCATCCATGTCGAATACCACCGTTTTAACCTCATCCATGGTGGGGGGCTACATTAGTTGGATATTGTCTTGGTTTGTCACCAGCTTGGGAATAACGTCTAAGAAACCATACGAAGAGGCAGAATCCGACTCTGCCGAGAAGAGCTTCTGGAAGAAGGAAATAGTTTCGCCGCTAATGAGCTCCTCGGACTCCACCCACTAGCCATTGGAGTCTCAGATCTGATGAAGAATCGCCTTGCTCCTTCGCTCCGCCACCACCGCGTGGAAATACTTGGAATTACAATCCCCATCCTTTAGCCACTTAACCCTCGCCTTCTGTCTCCAAAAACCTTCCTCAATGGCCAGCGTAGTCCTCAACTGCTCACGGGCTTCATTCAATCCACATAGGGCCTGATCTGACGAATCATGCTCTTGAACCATTTCCGCCTCCATCACCGCCCTCTCCGCTTCTTTCATTGCCTGAAATATGTCACCAAAGGTCTCCCTGGACCATCCCTTCAAGATCTGCTTGATTATACGCAATTTGGATGCCAACACCCCTAGGGGAGGACCTGCTAGCTCGCGTGGCCACCCCTTCCTGATGACATCAAGCAGTCCCGCTCTGGTGGTCCATACATTTAAGAAACGGAACGGTTTAGGCTTGTCGTTCAACCTTGTAGAGGCAGTCAACAGTAGACAGACATGATCAGACAGATCCCTCGCCAGATGTTGTACCAAGATATCAAATCCCATGCGAAGGGCCTCCAAATTGAGAAGTAGCCAATCAAGACGTTTCCAAATCCAGGCCCGCCCTTACCTGTTATTGCACCAGGTATAGTTTGAATCGGAAAACCCTGCATCTGATACACCAGTCTCCATCATGAACTGTAAAAAATCCATCCCTTCGGACAATCAGAATGGCAGCCCTCCTCGCTTCTCACCCTCATTGACTATTACATTAAAATCCCCGACTAAGAACCACGGTATATCAGAAGGCCTGTCTACCGCCAAGCTGGCCCATAGCATCTCACGCTCTTATACAGTGCACCTTGAATGAACAAAAGAGAAGCAAACAACAGACGGGAACAAAGGACAATGAATATGAAGCGAGACATGCTAACACGACTCGCCCACTATGACACTGGAGAGAAATGATTTATAGAACACCCAAACGGTCCCCCCTTGGTTAGAGATACTAAGGTCCATCCCCAACTTCAAACGCACACTATCAATATTACCAAAATCCACCTTTGGCTCACAAATCGCTACCAACTGGAGTGAGTGGAGTTTAACTAATTTTTTGGGCCTTCTTAGATTTGGGATGCGATTAACACCCCTTATATTCCAAAAAAGTACGTTAAACATCGGATAAAATGGAAAAGGAATTGAACGAGCTCGACTTATTTGAGCGTAAGTTACGGTCGGAAGGGAACCGAGCCCGCATACCACGCCCACGCTGCTTGGGTTGCACTACTCCTAGGGGGCTTGCTCCCCTAATGGCGTGGGATGGCGAGTTTGTTGTAATAGCAACCGAATCAAGGTGAAACAGGTTTGAGATCGACGCCCTGATCCTTATGGACTGACAGGCTGCTGTACCACGCGGAGACACATTCCCAAACCTCCCTTGGATATCACAAAGGTCCTCCATAAACTCCTTATCAGGCTCCATGCCAACATGCTGTTGCCGTTTCCTCTCTTGCTCCACTCCTATAGCCCCACCATCTTCCATCTCCAGCGCTCCTACACGCAAGGGCCGCGCCTGCTGTTCCTGGTCTCCAACCACGACTTGCGCACGATCCACTAGCCGCTCCTGCTGCCCCCCATGATTCTCCTCCTCGCGCACTTCCTCTGTCAAAACACACTCAGCCATCTCACAAATGATCCCATCAGCAGCCTGGGCAATAGCCTCCTCCACCATTGTCTCCACCTCCAACCTGGGGAGTCCTTCCTGAGTGCGCGGAGGTCGTAGCATCCCCAGCGGCCAACTTACCGTCACCCACCACCTGCATTGCCTCGTCCTGCATAGCATGCTGAACCTGCTGCGGGTTGGCTTCTGAGATGGCCGCCCCACACCTCTGCTGCACTGCGGGTACCTCTACCAAAGGTTTCTCCCCCACTAAGTTTGTTGTCTCGACTCCATGCACCGCCGCTCTCTTCACTTTCGATCGAAACTCTAGCACTTTCTCCCGTCGCTCCCTTTCCTCTGGACCCCACACGACAGCCGCCTTCACGCGAAATTTCGGGTGCTTAACCCGACAATCCG